CCGGCAAGGGCAAAAGCCCTGAGGCCAGGCATAGAGGGCCTGCCAGGGAAGGGCTCTGTCTCCAAGACTTGGGCCTTAGGCCCTCTGCTACCTAGTCTCTCTCCCCACTGGCGATTCCTAGGTGTGTCTACTCAGAAGAGTGTCCCCTTCCCTCTAGCCCACCTGGGCTTCGGGCCTCTGCCTGTCTTGGGCAGTGTTGGGGTCTCACAGGACTTGGCACCCAGGGGACTGAGGCAGGGCGGGGGTGGGGGTGTGGCCTCTCTCCGTGTAAGGCGCTTGGCCTGGTGATTAGGCTCAGCGCTAATGAGGTCAAGGTGGATGGTTTGATTCTGCCATGGGCTCTAGTGGCCGGATGAAGGGGGCTGTGCTGGATGCCCTGGGTCTAGTCGTGCACACAAGCAGCCCCCCAGGATGGGCTGAGCCCCTGACCCCCCGCACAGCTCAACAGTATTTAGCACCTTGCTGGTCATCTAGTGCTGTGACAGCTTGGAATTTTTATTTGTCCTGTTCGCACGGCTTTTATCCATCTCTCAGGCTGTAATATGAGTCCACAGGGCAGACCTGGGTCTGTCTTGCTCACGAGAGGGTTCCCAGAGCCCAGTGTGGTGCCTGGCATGTAGTAGAAAGAGCTGGAATTTTAGTCTTTTGTTCACTGACGAGTCCCCAGGACCTGGCCCATAGAAGGTGCTTCCTGGGCATGTCTAATGCACAAGTGAGTAGGTGAATGGATCTAGACGATTTCCCTAAGTACCTCCCCTCTCTGCCAGGTTCTTCCTCTGTGAGAGCTTGACAATCCCAACAATCCTTAACTTCCCCTGGTGATGGGGAACTAAAGGCCATCCTTGAGGTGACACTGTAAAGCTTGATGGAGAATTTTTTTTAAACCAAAAGTGCTGTTTATTCTGAGCAACAGGCTCAGAGTGAGCTGGAAGGGTCACTAGAGGTCACCTACCCTGATCCTCCCTGCTACATCCATGTAGCGGACGGAAAGACTGAGGTCCAGGTCTGCGGCGAGTTGCTCAGGTCCTGGGTGACACATCAGTGACAGCCTGGGCTCTAACGCACCGTCAACTGGGCCTTGGGGGTTTCCCGTCGTACCTCCCTCCCCCCATGAAAGACAGATCTCAGGAAAAATCGGCCAGTCCTTTACACTGTGGTATAACTGAGTAAAAAAAGATTGGGCTGGGGTGGGGGAAAGGCCCTAGACTGAGGCCCCAGAACTGATGTGGAGCAGTGGAAGCCCTGAGGGGAGGAGGCTGGATTCTAGCTGGCCTCTGAGGCACCCGACACCCACTTGCCCCGTCTTGGCCTGGTTTGCTGGGATGAAGAAACCTTGGGGGTGGAGGGTCTACAACCATCTCTAGATTGAACTTGACCCGCTTTCCCCTCAAGATCTCGGTTATGAATCTTCAGACCATATAGCTGAGGTTCCTGTCCTCCCCCATGGGGCGAAGCTCCTTGACAGCCACCCTTCCTTGGCACTGAGGCCACACACCTGAGTGCACCCAGTGCTCTTCCGTCCTGGTCACAGACCCCCCTCTGTCATATGGAAATGTGGCCCGTCGGGAGTGCTTGGAAGTGACCAGTACGTGTCGCCAACTGTATTAATCTCTTCCTGAGTCTCCTTTAGTCTCAGCTCACATGCATGTCCTTGGAGAGACCCCTGTGCTCAGTGTCCACACGGTACTTGTCACCCTCAGTGATGGGCCTGTCTGTTTCTTACTAACCGACTCACCTCTCTCTAGAATGCAGGGCTGGCCTGTTCATTGCTGCGTGTGAACTTGCAGCCGCAGTAGGTGCTCAATAAACGTTTGTTGAGCGAGTAAACAGATGACCCCTGTGAGGAGGGCCTCCCTCCCCTCTGACCACTGGGGATCTGGAGGGTCAAGGTTCCTAGGCAGGGGGGGCTCTCAACACAGGCCTGGCCAGTGTTCCCTATATGTCTGGCCATCCAGAGAGGGCCCATGGTTGGGTGATGGCCAAGCCCGCGTGTGGGTGACTTTCTGAGCCATTGCCCCTCTGCCAGGCGGGGAAGGGCTGTGAGGCGCTGAAGAGGCGGGGTCAGCGCCCTGGGGCTGCTGTCTCCGAAGGCTGACGTGGCCGTCTTGGGGTGCCCGAGCCCTCTCCCGTGGAGGATTAGGGGCTTAGCTGGCAGGGCACAAATTGCTCTTAAGCCTCCGCAGGGAAGGAGGTGCTGGGTCAGCATCCTCCCCCTCCCCCCCTTTCTTTTTCCAGGCCCTTCCGCAGGACTTAGCTGACTGCGTCACTGAGGCTGTGAGGCCTTCACCATCCCTGAGGATGTCAAGGGGAGTGAGGGAGGGAGACAGGCCAACTCTCCCTCCCTCCCTCCTTCCTCTCCTTCCTTCCCACCCCTTTGCCAGACTCCTTCCATGCGGCCCTGGGGACACTGAGACGGACCCTACACGGTCCCTGACCCCAGGAAGCTCCCGGTCTCATGGGCAGCAGACAGGGGAATGAATCACCGCGAGAGATGGGCGTGTGCTCCCCGCCCCGTGCTGTGGGAGCCCAGAGGAGCAAGAGTGGACCAGGAGGGCACCCAGGAGGCTTCCCAGAGCCGCCTGCCTTGGCAAGAGCCTCCTGGGCAAGGAAGGGGGGAGGGGCCAGCTGGGTGGAGCAGTGCTGGGGTTCTGGGGTGGCGAGGCAAGGACGGAGGGCAGGGCCTAGGAGTCTGGGGTCAGCTGGCTAGCAGTGTGGACAAGCAGGGAAGGGCACTGTGAGGCTTCCCTTCCAGGAATGTGTTCTGGAGTCTGGGCGGAGGGGTCTCAGGGAGTCCTGGCGTTAAGCGTCTCCCCAGTGATGGCCCGCCCAAACCTCCTCTGCCTAGCTTGCCTTTGCTGTGGGCACACAAGCATCGTGCCAGGGAGAAGACACAGTAGCAACCTCGGAGGAGGGGCGTCCGTCCACCTGTGCACGAGCCACGAGGGGTTCCCAGCTTCACAGCCTTGCTGGGGACAGGTGGGAACCCGAGGCCCACGACAGCCAGCTGGCTGAGGCGGGGCCAGAGTCAGATCCACCTGAGGTCGCCCAATCCGCCTCCTCCTTCCAAGGACATGGGCATCACCTTGAGCACTTGGAGACAGGAGACCGGGATCAAGCCCCAGCCCGAACCACCGCCAGGCTGTGCAGTCTCTGGTGGTCGCTGCTGTCTCTGGGCCTCCGTCTCCTCTTAGTTAAATGGGCATGTCGGGTCCCTGTGGTGTTTCCTTGTCACGGGCATCAGAGGGGTGGACGGGGTTCCTATCAAGCCCTGTTCACAGATGCAGGCTAGGCTGGAACCTTGGTGGCACAGTTGTGAGATGGGGAAACAGCCTGGGAGAGAGGATGGGACATGGTTAAGACCCAGACCAGGGTGGGACAGGACAGCACAGAACACAGGGCTTACGTTCCAAGGCCCCACCTGGGCTCGAAGCCTGCCTTGGCGGGGTGCATGTTTGTTGAATGAAAGAAGACACAATGTTGCTGAGCCTCAGCTTCATCATCTGCACAGTGGGCAGCCTCGGGGGGCTGTCGCGGATGAGAAGCGCCGATGTGTGCAAGGAGCGTCTGGAGCTTAGCGCGGGTGCGAGAGTGGGTGCTGGAGCTTAGCGCGGGTGCGAGAGTGGGCGCTGGAGCTTAGCGCGGGTGCGAGAGTGGGTGCTACCATTCCCCGTGGCAGCAGAGCCCACATGGCAGCCTCAGCACCTCCCGCGTGCCTTACTCCCGCTTGCATTCCTGGAGTCTTGGCTGGGTCCCCTCCCCCACTCCGAGCCAGGGACCATCTGATCTGCCGCTGTGATTGACTGTTGGGTAGCTGGAGCCGTTTTCCCCTCTCCCCTTTTTCCTAGCCATATGCAAATGATTTCAGTTCAAGTAACGCGTCAATGGAAACCCTAACACGTTAATAAATGTTTAGCGAGAGAGAGCAAGCATGATCGCGAGTAGTCAGACACTCCACGGAGGAGTTCTGTTGGCACAACTGTCTGGCTTCCTTCTCCATGTTCCTCCGTCATCTCCAGAGGGAGAGGCAGAGGGAGGCAGGGAGGCTGGGGCTGGTCTGGATGGGTTCAGGGTCCCAGGTTGGGCTCTAGCTTGGACACTTTCCACTGGTGGCCTCGACAGACACTCCCCTGGCCGGGCCTCAGTGTCTTCGCCCCCTCCAGTGGACACATGGTCCAGCCCTGCCCCTTGGCGCTGAGCATCCCGTGGGGTGGTTTGCAGCAGCTCCCCAACAGCCCAGTCCCTCTCCCGCTCGAGCCTGGCTGCTGTCGGGCTTGCGCAAAGCCCTGCATTGCTGCCTCCTGGCAGGCAGAGCAGTGGGCAGAGGGGACAGGGCCTCGGGGCTGGACAAACCATGGGCCTCTTCCTCAGGGCTGGGGGCGGTCCCGGGACTCCTTGAACCCCCTTCCCTAGAGCAGTTGGAAATGAGAACCTTTCCTTCCCAGGGCTGCCATGAGACTGGAGACAACGCGGGGAATGAAATGTCGTCAATGCTGAGAAGGTCCCCAGGGCAGGTGAGTTCTCCTTCCCCAGCTTCCCCCTCCAAACTCTCGAGTGTTGGACTGAGTACCAGGGTGCCCACGGGAAGGGACCTCGGCAGTGGGGAATCGCAAATGGAACCTACCTGCCTGAGGAGCTGGAGGAAAAAGGGAGCGTGTCAGCTGGCTGGGGCATTCCTAGGGGCTGGGGCTGGTGGAGGGAGAGGGGTGGGCGTGCTCCAGAACCCAAGAGGAGCCTTGATCAGGTGGCCACACAGGAGACTTCGTTTCAGCCTCTGCCATCTCCTTTGGAGCCAGGTATCTTATTTTGTCGAGTTCCCTTTAAGCCAAAATAAATCAACAAAAAAATACCCACTCCTACCCTTTTCCAGATTGCCATGTCGATTAGATTAAATTTTAAGAGCACACAAATGCAATGTTCCTTTAGGATCAAATTAGAAACAGGTGCACTTTTGCATAAGGAAATTAAGTTGCAGACAATACAAAGATTTGCTACAATGCAGACACTGATGAAAATAAGTCGCCCTTTTATTTGTCGTCATCGAGGCAATCTGTTGGCAAAGTGTGCAAGTGAACGGTCTGACAGATCTGTGGACTCCGGCAGGCTGCCGTGAACGACTCAGAGCCCTTCTGAAAGGAACAGATTTTTTTCCCTTAGAAAATATATGTACATTCGCTTCCCCATCTCCCGGTGCTATTTACAAGGCACAAGATGCCATAAATAGGGATTCCATGGCTGCACAGGCCCCCCCTAAATACAAACTTCATCTGGGGAGACACATTCTGACAGTTTAACTCTTTCTTGTCTTCTATAGTCCGGCAGACTCCAAGGCGGGTGGAGGTTGCTGCGGGTCCCCAGGGCATCGTCAAGGGCTGAGGTCATCAATGTGCCTGCGGCAGTAGGGGCAGCAGGTGTGCTGAAGCACCAGCAGCTCATAGTCCTCGGAGTGGAACATCTGAGGAGAGACAACCATCACCCCGGACTGCAGCTCTGGCTCTGCAGCCCTGAGTCTGGGGCCAGGGGTGTTGCCCAGCCGAGGGGAGGGGTCTGGGCAGCGAGGTGGGCCTGAAACAGTCCTGAAGCTCCCTGGTCTGGGGGCTGGAGAGGGAGGGGGTTCTGAGGCCCCTTCCTGTGAATGAAGGTCAAAGGCACGTCACATGTGTGGCCCTCCTGCATTCAGGGCAGGTGTGGACAGCACAAGATCGGTGAAGCCGACTGCAGCCAGCACTGGGGATGCAAGGGGCAGGATGGGGACAGCCCCTCCCCAACACAGAGCTATGGCTGTGGCCCTGGAGTGTCCACTTGTGCCCAGAGGGGCGTTTGGGAAAAGGGGCGCACACGGCTGCCAGCAGTGGTTACACACCTGGAAGCAGGAGGGGCACATGGTGATGGAGGCATCGGGCAGCAGCGAGCGGAAGTACTGCCACCGCAGGGGCAGGGGCCAGCGCTTGATGAGGACATCCCGGCGGCTCATGCAGCGAAGCACCATCCGGCTCACCACCACGGGCACGAACTCTGAGCCACCTTGCTGCGGGTGGGGGGAAGCAGGCACCAGCACCCTCCCTCAGCCATGGTGACATATTTACATGGATCATGAGCCCAGAATCTTGGGGATGACCAGGGAGGACCACCACTTCTTATCCCTCAAGCGACCCTGACAGCGACAGGCTCCTCCTCCTGCCAGAGCTGAAGCTGCATCCCTGTCCACAGCCCTGTCTGCACGCTCACCTGGGGCCACCCCCTCAGGTCCCCAGAAGGGGTCCTGGCCCTCCCTCCGGCTGCTACATCTTCCTTGGCCACGTCCACTAGCTGAGGACCTCTGTGTGCACAGGAGAAGGGAGAGACCGCCCTCCTGCAAGCCCCAGCAGCTCAGCACTCAGAGAGACGCCCTCACCTCAAAGCTCAGCTTTGCCGTGAATGGGTCTCCGTCTCCCATGGAGTCTATTGTCTCGTCCAGCCGCAGAGTCTGGGAATCTGGAGTCTGGTCAAGGATGGAGCCTGATGGAGCAGGAAACAGGCCGTGCCTCCACCCAGCATGTGGAGTGCACAGAGCTCAGCCAGCCCTTGCTTGTCACCCCTGGCCACGGGGGAGAGCAGCAAGGCACAAGACCAGGTTCCCAGGGAGAAGAGCGGAGGAGACACAGGCCACGGAGATGGCCCCAGTGCAAGGGCTGGGCAGAGGGAAAGGGCCTCTGCTGTCCTCGCCCACCTCCCCACAGCTCGCACCATGGCTCCTGTGAGCCGGCTGGACAAAAGACCCTGTGGGCAGAGGTCCGAGAGCCACTGGGATGGGAGTCGAGATGACAGGCCCAGCTGGAAACCATGGCCAGCAAGCCCAGAGTGCCTGGAGGAACGCTCAGCAGTCATCAGGCCACTGAAGGCCTCACAGGTCGCACTTCGCAGAGCAGAAGCGGGCGAGAGGTCCTGCAGACCCCTAGCACAGGCCAGACTTGCCTGGAGGTCTCTGGAAGCTACCCCCTCTGCCAGGGTAGTGGTGGAAGAGCTGATGTGACAGAGGCAAGGGCAGGGGAAGATTCCACTGGGAAGCCCCAGGGACTGGAGGCTGCTGGTGCCAAGTCAGGATAGGGGCCTGGCACCCACATGCCAGCCACCGCCCGGACTAGCCTGTAGTGAGCCCACATGGCAGACATGGGTTCTGTCTCCCTGCTTCGGCAGGTGGCTCTCTAGGTTCTCCTCTCACTTCTGCTCCTCACAATGTGGCCCATGGACAGGGGCATCACCCAGGAGCTTGCTAGAAACACAGGCTCTTGGCCGCACCAGGTCTGCCGACTCTGTGCCGTGTGACAGTGTGCACGTGCACATTCCCTGCACGAAGCCGCCCTCGTCTCCCACCTCAGCCTCCAAGTGCAAGCGAAGCTGTGGGATGCAGGACCTGGCCTAGACACTGACATGCCTCCCTCCCGGCCAGTAGGATCAGCTGAGGTGTGCCCTGGTGTTTCTGCTGACAGGGCCGAGAGTAGAGCTGGCTGCTGCCGGGGGCTGTGAGGCTAATGGGATGTGGGGTCAGCGCTGCTGGTGGTCATCTCTGTCCTGTGTCGGGGGGCAGGGGCAGTGCTGCCGAAGAATGAAGCCACCCAAGAGACCCAGACCCGGCCTCCCTGGTGCAAAGTGAGCGTGTGGACCTGCGAATTTCCACTATGACTAGGCCTCCTCACGCTCGTTTGCTCTGCTTCTTTTGAGTCCTGGTTTCTGTCACCTGCATGTCAAAGAGTCCAGAGCAGAAGAGCTGGGAGCCACCAATATGGACACCGTAGTGTGCTGGCCACTTATGAGCTGTGTGTGGCCAGGAACATGACCTTTCAGGAGCCAGGGCAGGTGGGAGACCCTCACAGGAATAAGCATGGGGTAGGCCAAGGCGACACTCACTGCTTCTGGGGCTGTGGGCCCTGGCCAGCTCTCTGCCCATTTCTGGCCCCACCTTGCCACCATGTGAACCTCTCCAATCTCTCTGCCCAGCTCGCCTGCCTTCCGCCGTGGGCTCAGCCCAGCGCATGTCTGGCAGATGTGGGCTCTGGCTCCGGCAGGGCACAGGATACCGTGGCTTGTGATCTCTTGCCACTTGCTCTCCCGCTGGGGTCGTGGTGTCTCCAGGTCAATGAGGGAGATGGCTTCTTCGTCAGTGATCCCCTCCTCCAGGTAGAACTCAACCAGGTGCAGCACCTCTGGAAGGCAGGGGGAAGGAGCTGAGGGGGCTGGCAGCATCTTTGGGGGTCAGACAGGGCGGCCGCAGAGTTCCTTCCCCTCCCACCAGCAGGCTTCTCCAAAGGCAAGCGGAGGCAGTGGGCAGAGACCGGCCGTGTGTGTGTGGCCTTTACTTGGGTACTGGGAAGGGTTTCTGGTCCTTTGTCAACGTCGACGGTGCTAGGCCTTGGGAGCCTGCCTCAGACTCCCAGTCTGAACGCACGACCACTGGCCTCTGTTCCTGGGGCATTTCATTAAGCAAAGGCCTGCACCAGGTTCTGAGAAATAGGTGCTTTCAGGTTTAGGCCACACTGGATCCCATTCTGGGGGTGACTCTGGGTGTCAGGCAGGGTGGGTGTCACGCTGTCCCCAGTTCACAAACAAGAACATTCAGAGGCCTCTGGGCCTTGCCCGATGTCATGTGGCCAACAAGCAGTGGAGTGACCCAGCTGCCCACAGGCGGCCCCACCCACACGTGCAGGGACACAGGGACTCACCATAGGAAGAGGCAGAGAAGATGAACGGCTGGCGGCAGTTGACGCAAACGTTGCCCAGGTTGTTGAGCAGTGGGTTGTTGGTGGAGCAGCGGTAGCACAAGGGCACCAGCTCCTACAGAAATACAACCACAGACTGCGTGAGGGGCCACACCAGGGGTGGACAGATGTCTTCCCCCGGCCCCCGGACTCTGGCTACCAAGAAGAAAGGTCATTAGGATAGGTAGGGAGGGGTACTGGGCCCGGGGAACCCCATGCCCTGGGGAAGCAGGACGAAGGCCTACGGAGATGCCCAAAGCCCTGTCACTTGGGGCCCTCTGCCCAAGACACCTCCACAGGCAGGGCTTAGCAGGACTGTTCCCCTGGCAGGGGTGACAACGGCCATTGCCACCCCTTACTGGTCACTTGGCATGCTCTAGGTACTGTGCTGAGCACATTACCTGTGCTGGCTCATTTAGCCTCACAACTGCTATGGGGAAGGTACTACATGCATCTCCATGTGAGAGAGGAGAAACTGAGGCTCAGACACAGGCAGGAAATGGTGGAGCTGGGATTCGATCCAGGTCTGTCTGATGCCGACTCCCTGCTCTGAGTTTGAAGGAGGGGGCTGTGAAAGGCAGCAGCTGGTTGAGTTGAAGGAAAGTAGATGGAGCCCAGACCTGGGTTGCAGGTACTGTGGGGCGGATTTGTTGGAGAGCTATAACCTGGCTCCTAGGGACTTTTAGGGAGAGGATCAGCCCTGCAGCCAGGCTGAGGTGAGGGCAGAGCCGCCTGGGCCCCAAGGTACTGAGCAGAGTACGCTGGGCGCAGCAGCACAGGAGCCATGGGAAGGAAGGAAGCAAGGGAGCCCGGGGATTTGGGGCTTTGAGCTGGAGCACAGTGGGCCAAGTGGACAACAGAGGAGGTGGAGGGGAAGCACAGAAAGAACTGGCAAGCCAGACTTGGGCAGAGGTGAGGGGCACAGGGCCTCAAGAGAATGGCAGCCATCTTTCAAACAGAACCCAGGCCAGGCAAGAAGTCATCAGATGTGCTGAGAGGAGAGGAGAAGCCGGAGGAGACGTTTCCTGCCTAAGGGGGTGTGTTCTCACCTCACTGTCATGGAAGGGCTTGGAGCGGATGGTCAGGCTGCCTAGCTCGATGGACTTCTGGAATCTGTCAGGGATCTTCAGGCCCTGCAGCTTGTCATAAGCATGCCGGGCCAGCTTGTAGGCACCCAGGGCCTTGCTCTGCTTGGCCAGGGTGAAAAGCGTTTTCCTGCCATCAACGGGGTTAAGGACAGCAGAGGCCACACCAAGCCAAGAGCAGGCACTGTCTACCCTCTGAGAGAATCCCGTGCTGGAACACAGCTCGTGCTGGTGCCAGACGGGCACAGGAAGGGACATGAGGACTGTTTTGTTCATCTGTGAGATATAAAGAGTATTTCTTAGATGGCAAGGCCCAGGGACTTCTCCAGAGATAAAAACAGTCCAGTTTCCATTAATATATATATATATTTTTCTGAGTTGGAGTCTCACTCTGTCGCCCAGAGTGGAGTGCGGCGGCCGCTCCCGGCCACCGCAGCCTCGACCTGCTGGGCTCCGGCGATCCTTCCGCCTCAGCCTTCCAAGTAGCCGGAACTACAGGCGCGTAATTTCTGATTTATTGTAGAGATGAGGTCTCGCCAAGTTGCCCAGGCAGGTCTCGAACCCGCGGGCTCAGGCAGTCCACTCGCCTCAGCCTCCCAAAGGCGCAGGATTACAGGCTGAGCCACCGAGCCCGGCTTCCATTAACATTTTAACCTCACTTAGGTTTTCTGGGCCTGCTGATGGTGCTCATCTCGTCACTGACCGGGCCAAAACAGCTCTTCTGCCTCGCCTAGCCTGCCTGCTAGGTCCTAGAATGCCTGGCATCTAATGCCCTCTGCTCCAGCCCTGCTAGGTGGGGCCTGGCTCACAGTGGCCACCGGTACCCAGCGTTCTGCCTGCCCATGCTTCTTCACAGGCCTACTGGGTGTTCTGTTCTCTGGGGGCCCCTCTGAGTTCCTCAGCCTGAGCTCAAGTCGCCCCAGATGCTGGCTGTGCCCAGTTCTGCCTGCCCTTCCTCCCTCATCAGCCTTTCTGTGGGGGTGAGCTGATCTGTGTCTCCACCATAACTCTCCAAGCCAGGGACTTTGTCAGGAGCCATTTCCAGGCCTCCAGTGGATGGCACAGAGCAAGGCTCAGGGCAGGGGCTCAGTCAAACTTGGAAAGGCCCTGAAGGAGTGGCTGTGGCCATTCCTTTGGGGCAAGGCAGGCGGGCCAGTCGACAGGGGTCCAAGTCAGTAAAGACACTCTTGATTTGGGGGAGTTTCCCCTGAAATGTAAATATGGGCCTAGAACCCTTAGAGAGGCCAGTTCTCACATACAAGCACCTCTGGGTCCTCTGGTCGGAAATTTTCCTTTGGAAAGAAGGTAGGGTTGGGGATGGGGCTGGGGAAGGGCTGAGACAACAGTGAAGCTCAGAAAGAAGACAGGGAGGCTGGATGCAGTGGCTCAAGCCTGTAATCCCAGCACTTTGGGAGGCCAAGGCGAGAGGATTGCCTGAGCTCAGGGGTTTGAGACCAGCCTGGGCAACTTGGTGAGATCTTACTTCTACAATAAATAAAAAAATAAGCTGGGTGTGGTAGTGCGTGCCTGTAGTTCCAGCTACTTGGAAGGCTGAGTGAGGCAGACAGATCACCGGAGCCCAGCAGGTTGCTGTGAGCATGCCACTGCACTCCAGCCTGGGCACAGAGTGAGACTCCAATTCAAAACATAAAATAAGGAGGACAGGGATAATTATGTCTTTTATGTCACTGAAGACCTTAAAATGACCGTTGGTCATTTCCTCATAGTTTCTGGCCACACAGGCCCTTCAGGCCCTTCTCTGTTTACAGCCTCTCACTGGCCAAAGAGGTGAACCCAGAGGAAGACCTGGGGCGGCCTGTTCTGCCTCTCCAGCCCCTCCCACTCAGGGCAGGCTCAGCTCCTCCCACACACCTCAATTGCTTCCCCCGTCTTCCCAGCCCTTCTAGTGCTGGGTCCTCCGCAGAACACCTATCCGCTCTACCATCTTTCCCGGCTGTCTCAGCCTGCAGGACGGACATCACTCTCTCTAGGCAGCCTTCCCTGACCAGGGCTCTGGCCTCAGCCAAATTCCACCCTTGGACACAGCACACCTCCATTGAACAGTCCAGGCCCTGACTTGTTACTGCCCCCTCAAAGGCAGCTTTGTGGTCTGGTGCCTGGCCTTGTGCTTGGGGCATAGCAGTTACTCCCCAAATCTGGACTGAACAAACACTCCCTGCTCCCCAACCTGGGGAAGTGCCCAAGATTCCAAGTTCAAAGGCCTGGTGCTTCCTCCATGTTGGTTGCACCATCATCTGTGGGTTCTGGGAGGGCCTGGGACACAGTGTTGGCCAGAGACCCATTGCTGGGCTTATCCCAGAGAGCCCTGAAAACTAATCTTTTCTTGGCTTTGGCCCCTTGGCCTCCCCAGCTAAGCCTCTTCTACAGCAAAACAGCAGCGGGAGGGCAGCTCTCTCTCTTCCCTGAGGGCTGCTGGAGGAAGGTTCTGCCAGGAAAGTGCTCTAGAAAGAACTTCTCGGGGCCATTAGACAAAAGAAATGTGACGGGGTGGGGGGAAACGGGGATGAAGGAAAGGATACACTTTAGAGATGCCCAAGGGGGTGTCCTTGGTCAGGCTGTGCAGCAAGAACCTGGAGATGTTGAAAAGGGTTTCAGGACGATGGGAACTGAACGGCTCCTCCTGTGGTGGGAGAAAAGCAAACAGGGATTGGATTTCTCAACTGAGCTACTGCAGACCAGGCCAAAAGGCAGAAACCAAGCACTCTGAGTTACTTCAACAAAAGAAAGGCTGTTAATTGAGTACCTACTGTGTGTGGGTACCAGACGGCCATTGTCTCATGTGGTCTTCAATATAACCTTGTGGTATGCATTTTTATCCTCACTGTACTGATGAGGAAACCAACCCCAGAGAGACGATCTGCCCAAGTTGCTGGCTAGAACAGAGCAGAGCTGGTATTCAAAGCCAGGTCTGACTCCAAAGCCCAACCAAGCATGTCTTTCTTGCAAGCTATACTGTCTCTGGGGTTGGTAACGATTCCATTTTCCTGAGCTCAAGTTGTCTCCAGTTAGCTCTAAAAGAGAAGAACTTTTTTTTTTTTTTTTGAGTTGGAGTTTCACTCTGTCACTCTGACTGGAGTGCAGTGGCCACTCCCGGCCACCGCAGCCTTGACCTGCTGGGCTCTGGTGATCCTTCCGCCTCAGCCTTCCAAGTAGCTGGAACTACAGGCACGCACTACCTACCACGCCCGGCTAATTTTTGATTATTGTAGAGATGAGGTCTCGCCAAGTTGCCCAGGCAGGTCTTGAACCCGTGGGCTCAGGCAATCCACTCACCTCGGCCTCCCAAAATGCTGGGATTACAGGCTGAGCCACTGAGCCCGGCCAGAGAAGAACTTTTATGCAACTTAGCGCATAACCACTGATTTTTATAAGCCTGTCTTTCAATGGAGGCATTTAATTCTCTCCAGCATGAAGCTGCATGCCTCTGCTGCCCAAAAACAGCCTGACCAATGTGCCACCAGACATACACCCCAACCACTGATCTCCATTCCCCTGGCACCTGGCATAGGCCCTAACAGGAGGCCCTTGGCACACATTAGTGGAATGAATCAGTCTTCTGTACCTACAGGCTGTCAGAAGCTTGGCATGGTAGACCACAGGGAATTTTCTACCAGGAGGGGTCTGTAAAAGGTTAAGGATACCATTTTGGAAAAATCTGGCACACTGTGTGCAAACTGAGGCTGCCAATTTCTAATAAAGTCTTAAATGATGAGGATTAAAGGTCAGCCAACCCTCCCCAATGCAGGCTCTTAACTGATAATAAATTGACATTTCCTGAAGGGTCTTGTGAAGCCCTACTCATCACTGAGCCAGCTAGGCATAGCCCCTAATTGGTCTAAATTTCTGAGGACTCGCTTTGCCCTGTACTTCTTTGGTTCAGAGCTCAGCATTTTATTAGTTCCCATGTATGTTTCTATAGCCTCTATTAGCTCAAAGAACCCAAGAAAACCTGAGACAGCATATTTTTCAGAATGAGAATCGAGACAGCATCTTTTTCAGATTGAGAGGCTACCTCTGATTCCACTGCACTAGGTGTGGAAGCTAAGAAACATCCCAGAGAGAATGAATAGGAGGAGGAGTTCTGTCTTCTGGGACAGAAGGCGTGAATCCCAGAAAGGATCTGATACTTCCTTTTCCAGCCTGCTTGTCTGCCCTGATTTGGTGCTGCTCGGCTGGGCCCTGATGCCAAACCCCAAGCTACCACTCATGTGTAGACCTCTGCCCAGGCTGTGGCCTCTGCCAGGAACGCCCTTTATCCTCCTTCTTTCATTTGCACCACTCTTGTCTCCCTCCTCTTGGCTTAGGTGCCACCTCCTCCGGGAAGTCTCCTCAAAGGCCTCTAAGCTTTTCCCTTGAGGGACTGTCCTGTTTGTTAGACCATTAGCTCCTTTAGGGCAGGGACAATGTCTTGCTTGTCACTGTGTCCCAGGCCTCAACAGGCGGTCACACAGCAGTCATTTGTTGCATAAAGGAATGGTCCAGTGAAGAAGACTCAGCCAAGACAACAGCAGGGTCCCCAGCTGGTCTGATGTCCCTCAGCTCCCAGCTCCGTGCAGGTTCTGGAGCAAAGCTCAGCTGCTGCAGAGAGGAGCCCCCAGCCTCGTGCCCCTGAGTAGAAGAGGACGAGAGCTCAGAAAAGGAGTTGAGAGCCAGGATCTGGAGTGACTTAAGCAAACAGGCTGAGCTGGACCCTGAGTTTCAAGCCTCAGTTGAGTCTGGGCTCCTCTTGTGGTAGCTTCTCTTCAGGTGAGCACCTAATAGAGATGAAGCTCCCTGAGGAGGTCTTGTCTTGGAGAAAGAAAAGACTATAAGGGAAGATGAGGTCCCCTGAGACCATGGACCCTGCTGTGGGAAAGAATGCAACACAGGACTTATGGCTAGCCTGGGCCGAGCCCATCAGAAGAATCTTTCTTGCCAGAATTTTCCAGGAGGCAAAAAATGCTCAGCCTGGAGCAGCAGGCCACAGAAAGCTGGGGGCAACCTCTGCTTGAGGCAGTAATGAGAACAGCTGACACCTAGGGTGGTGCCCTATACCAGGCACTCCTCCAAGCATATTTCCAATATACTGCATTTATCCTCACAACCATCCCATCCAGGAGGCATTGCCATTATCCTCGTTTTACAGAGAAGGAAGCTGAAACAGACAAGAGAAATGACTTGCCCAAGGCCACATGGCTCAGATTGGGTGTGAGGTCTCCAGAGTTCACCTTCTAAACCAACATACTAGCTGCTTTCTGCAAGTTAGAGGGGAGAAGAAGGGAAGGCTAAGAGCACAAGCTCTGGAACCAGCCTACTGGGATTCAAGTACGGGCTGCTACTTATGAGCTGGGAGACCTCCCTGTCTAGCGCCTCAGGCTCCTCATCTGTAAAACGAAGGTAATAGCATTTATTTCAAAGTGTGGGTGAAAGGATAAAGTGAGTTGATACAATAAAGCCCTCAGCACACTGCCTAATATATAGCAAGTGCTCAATCAACATTGGCTATCAATATCCTCCCAGCTTATGAGCACAGGATAAACTCACACTGTAGGAGCTTAAATGTCAAGATTTCTTAAGTGATTGAGGAGACACACAGGATGAAGAGGCTGTTGACAACCTGTCACCTGTTCTCCACTGCCACCAGATAGATTTAAAATGGCTACATGAAAGGAATCAGGAAGTGACTAAAAGGGAGAACTATTGGTTTTCTGGAGATCAAGCCAACCCTCTTCTTTTACAGAGAAGGAAACTGAGGGACAGAGAGGGACAGTGAATTGCTCAAGAACTCAAAGCAAGTCAGTGTCAGGGTCAGGGAGGGAACCTGAGCCTTTGGTGAACCTGGGCCTTCATCCTGCTAGAGAGGGCCCCATGGCATTCCCATGCCCCTTGTCTGGTTAATCCAGAGTTCACCTGAGTCATCAAAGCTATAACCAGGCAACAAGAAAGGCCCATTCTGGCTCTGGATGGTCATTCAGAAGCCCACAGCTTGCTGCATGTCAGACAAGTTGCCAATCAAGGAAAACCAAATTTTTTTTCTCCAGAGGAGACCAGGATTTCTGAGCAGTTTGTGGTGCCCAGTGGGTTGTGTTTCCATCGAGTCTACTACTCTTTAGATGTGCCCAGGGCCTCCAGCTCAGCAGGCAATGCTCCACTGGTGCCCATGTCCCTGACAGCTTACCATGTACCGATGAATGGCGTGGTAGCCGTGGTACAGCTCAGCCAAGTGCTGGAAGTGGTGGAACTTGCCAAGCATCTCATCCTTCTGGGCAGGATCTGCTGTGTGCAGTTGGGGGCAGGTAGAGAAGACGTGTCAAACCATGTCTGCAGCTGCTGACTGGCCACAGGAGGAGGGTCAGGTGACAGCACTGTCACCAGCATCAGTTTCTCTACAACATGGGACCTAAGCTATGGAGGGGGTAAAGAGGTGCAGTGATGGAAAAGGTACTCTTCTTGGGAATTGGGACCACCTCAGGAGGTGAAGTCTCAGCTGGGCAGAGCACACAGCCAGGGAGAATTTGAGGACATTTCTCTCAGGCTTTCTCAGATCTCATATGACACCGCCCAGGTCATTCCACTGGGGAAGTACCAGCTATGGCTAGTAACCCAGACAGGTAAGAAGAGCCTGATGGGATGAGGGTAGGCAGACGCCAACTTTATTTAGGCTCACTTTTTCCCTGTGTCACTCCTTGTCAGCAGCACAAACCACCGGCCAGAATAGAAAAATGCTACCTTGTACCTGGCTGGACCATTTTCAAACTAAAAGTTCAGTGCTTTTAGTGAGGCTCCAGCAATCTTATGAAGGACAGGGTACCCCCAATGGTCCAGATGAGCACACAGAGCTCAGGAAGGACTGTGACTTGCTGCAAGTCACACAGTCTCCACTCATGCTTTTCCCACCCCGGCAAGTGGCCTTGTCCAGTGGAGAGGAACATCTCCCTGCTGAACTGAGTGGCTCCCTCAGTGCATCATGGGAAGTCTTGCAAAAGAAAGCGTCAGTGAAATTGTTTTCCTACCTGGGATGAGTGAGATCTGGAGTGTGTTATAGTAAAGCCATCTCTTGTTCATCTTTTCATTTAATTAAATTTTTTGTAAAAAACCAGTGTTCACCCAGGTCTACTTATGGGCTCCCAGGTTGAAGGGGAAAGACATGTTCTGAATTAGCAACGCAGGACTGGACCTCCCAACTGTAACCCCAGGATGGTCCTCATACCATTCTTATACTTACGGGAAAACTGGAAAAAGATGACACACTAGATTATGCCACTGTAAGACAGGCTTATGGACAATACACCCAATAAACAAGCCAGGGCTTTAATTAAAACGTCCCAGCTCTTTCGATGTTTATCTTGGTGGCAGAGCGGGGCTGGGAAAAACAGTGGCCTGGCTGATGTTTACTTACCTTGAGCTATATCGAGGCACTGCATGGACAGCATCCAGTAATAATAGGCGGCATCATGAAATCTGCTCTCCACCACAGCATTGTGTGTGAGCTGCTCCAGTACTCTGACTGCTTCTCCCTGCCGCCCAGCCTTGTGGAACGCTGGGGGAGAAGGAGGCACAAAAGCACATGCAATTTAGGGAGTCAGACAAGGAGGCAGGATGGAATTCCGTGGGGCTTGAAGGAGCTGCTCTAGAAGTAGGACACTTGTTGGAGCATCCACAGCACTTCGTTGCTGGGATGCCGCCTCTCAGGCTGAAGGCTATAAATAACCAAGGCTACATCCTGAAAAAAGTATGGTGAGATATATTCCTTTTTGGTCAGGAAAAGGCAACTGGCTTTGAAAAAGCATGGCAGAAAGACAAACCTGAGGGGGTAAATTCCAGAATGGAGTCTAAGAACGAAACTTGCTCATCCCCAGAGAGGTTTTGCCCGCTGCTCATCCCAGGGCAAAGTTTCGTGACACCTGAGGTGACACTAAAGGACCTGACACTTTATCAGGCGTCAAGGTTTACAAAGCGCTTTTGTTGCTAATAACCCCACTGGATCCTCACAACAGACTGATGAAGAAGGGAAAATCACCCCACTTTTTAATGAGCAGTGAAAGGTGGAGGTAAGGTGTCATACCCTAGGTCACAGAACTGAGCCCAACTCAAGTTCTTGGTTGGTCTTCCACTGAGTACTTTGTGATGACGACCTTGAGATCTGGCTCCATTCTCAAAACCAAACATTTGTGAAAACAAACAGAAAACCTCTCAATCGTCCCTGTATCTACTGAACAGAAATTTCCTGACTATCTACTATGTGCCAGCCCCTTAGAATGTTGGAGGCTGCCAGTAAAGCAACTGTAGCTGTGACACTAGCCTACACATGTGCACTCAGATGATTCAAATCTTCCACCGTCAGAGAAGGAAAAGGTCTGGCCTTTGTTCCATTCTCGTCTCCAATCTCTTGTCTGAGTACCAAGTTACTATGGCGATGGATTCTTGGAAGGGCAGACACAGACAGATGGATAGGTTGATGTGTTTTGCCCAAACATGCAGATACTTCAGCAACTGGGTGCTCTGGAAATGCTGACACAGTAGAGAACACACTGTCCTTTGATGGGGGCTTTTAGCTGAGGAGCTCCAGCAGAGAGACATTTGTTCTGCAATGTGTCCGGAGGTGGCAACTGTTACCATATAGAAGTGTAAATGAGATGCTATGGAATATGACACACCCAGAGTCAATTAGAAGATTTCCTAAACAGGCAGCAAAACATAGTCAGAAGAATCAGGTTCCCAGCTGGACCAATCCTGGTCCAATTCTGATTCTGCTGCTCCCTAGATTTGTGACTTTGCACAGCACATTTAGCCTCCTGTCTCTGCAAAGCTATTGGCAAGATTCAAGGTTATATAGGTTAAGTGCCCAGCCAGCCTGACACAGAGAAGGTAGTCAATTTTAAAAATCATGATGATATTATCAGTTAAAGCTCTAAGCCTGGTCTGGCTCCTATTTCAGATGCTGTTGTACCTCATGTGTGGCCCATTTTACCAAGGGAAATGCTGAGGAGCAGAGGTCACCCCATTTATCTGAGCCAGAAATGGAAGCTGGGTTTATATTCTCAGTAAACAAAGCAGAGGTGAGACTGTGCCACCCACTCCCTGGCAGTTGTCTCTTTTTGCCCTTACTGTGTTCTGACTCTGGTTACCTCTGCCACGTCCTAGCTATGGCACTTCAGGCAAGCAAATGTCTTTACCTCTTGAACCCTCAGTTTTCTCATCTGCAAAATGGGAAGCATAATGATGGCACCTACACCACAAAGCTGTTGTAAGTATTAACAGCTTTACAACAATGGGAAGATACACTGGAGTGCTCAGCGCTTTGCTCAGTAACCACAGAAGTTTGAAGGGGAAGCAGCACCTCCTAAGGCCCTGTAGCATGTGAGTGATGACCCAGGGCTGTATGACTCCAAAGCTCATGTTCTTTCCATTGCTCCAGCACCTCTTTCACCACCAAACACACCACATCCCCACAATGAAGTTGCCTGTCTTGGAATTACAGATGGGAGGGGGCTGGCAGCCTTTCTGAAGTGTGTGTCTTGGCAGTGCCTTCTCCTGCCCCTTCTGTAAGATGCCAGTCTGTGTGACCTACCTTTCTGGGCTTCCTCAAAGCGATCGTTTTCTGCTAGCCACTGAGCATAGGGCACGTAGATGTCATCTTTAAACTCAGGATGCTTCTCACCCAAAGCAAAGGCCTGGAGGAAGGAGCAAATGCAGTCTTAATAAAGCAGCCCCTACAGTCCCCGTTAAACATGGCACTTGGCTGAATCCATCAGGGAGGACGTATTTTGCCAGCCTGACAACTCAAGGGGGAGAATGCCTCCCTCCCAACTACCCCCAGAAATGCAAAAACAAATCAGCTCTTTGAAAACAAAAGGCAATTAACAGCAATATGCAAGTGACTGGATTCAATAACAACACAGTCTGTTTCTGGACCACAGAAGCAGCACAGAATCGGAAACATTTTATTTTGAGGGTTTGCGTGGGCTCCTGTAGCGCTGCAAACAGATTTCTTTTAATTGCAGGCGACACCTAAGGAAACAGAATTGACATTATCATCATCTCTGCTTATTAGCCGTCAAAGATGACTGTGGGCTTGGTGCTATATGAGACCCAGTGACTGCTTCACCCTGAACCACCTGACAGGCCAGGAGAATCGGAAATGAGCCATGGGGAGAAAGTTCACCTAATACACAGCCAGGACCAAGTGGTTCTAAGATGATACTAAGTTGTTCTAATTTGTGCTGCTTGAAAGATCTGATAAATTTATCTTGAGAAGCCATTATTGCCTCTGTTCCTAGCCCCACCTTTTCTCATCAGTGGTCTTGTCACCTCACCAAATGGAGTCACTCACAGGGCAGGGAAGAGTCAGGCAGCTCTCTCCCAGAAAAGGCTTTGCCATCACTCTGTAGAACAGACCATGATGGGTGGCTGGGGTGGAGTGAGGATCTCAGACTCAGGTCCTGATCCTCATGGGGAGTTTCTCTGCAGGGCAGAAGGAACCAGAGAGCTGGAGAGTGAGGGCTGAGCCACGGGGCGGGGCATCTTTCTCACTGGCCTGGCTAATTTTTCTCACCTGCTCTTCATACCAGAGAAGTTGAGGTTGGGGTGGTGGGACAAGAAGGGAGGAAAAAGCTGCCCCTGAAATGACTCTCACCATCTGCATACAGAAAGCACGGATGGCATTTTTTTGTCAAAATGCTACCCAGCAGGTTTTTGTTTTTTTTTTTGAGTTGGAGTCTCACTCTGTCACCCAGACTGGAGTGCAGTGGCTGCTCCCGGCCACCGCAGCCTCGACTTGCTGGGCTCCAGCAATCCTTCCTCCTCAGCCTTCCAAGTAACCGGAATTACAGGCATGCGCTACCACGCCCGGTTGATTTTTTTTATTTATTGTAGAGATGAGGTGTCGCTGCCCAGGTGGGTCTTGAACCCGCGGGCTCAGGCAATCCACTCACCTCAGCCTCCCAAAGGCGCGGGATTACAGGCTGAGCCACCGAGCCCGGCTTCCAGCAGGTTTTTAAATGTCACACAGGTGTGTCTCCACATCAGAGGCATGTCTGAGCCCATGGTGCTGGTCAAAGGCAGCTCAGACAACAGCAGGCACTGGAGCTGTCGTGTTAACACTCACATTCCAGATGCCTATCCGAAGTTTGGCACAGAGCTGGCAGTCAATCAAGACTATCTAAGTGGAAGAATGAGAGAGCAAATGGAAAGCTGGCATGGGAAGATCCTCCACAATACTCAGGCTCATAGAATTCAAGGTTAAGTGTCCTGAATGACAGCCCAATGTTCATTCCATCTTGAGGGCAGCTTCTTTCCATCCAAATCCCAAGGGCCTCTTGTACCTGCCTGCCTGTGTCCCAGAGCTCAGGGGGACCCCAACCCATGAGGCGCGCTTTCCCCTCACCTCATCCCAGCGCTGAGTCTCCACGTGCAGCTGCACCAGGGACTTCAGATCACCAATCTTCAGGTAGGTCTCAGCAGCGTAGCCAGGGTTATTCAGCTTCTTGAAGTAGCGAGCACACAAAAGCAGGGGCTCACGCTCAGCCTTGTCCAGTTTACGGGCGATGTCGATCAACCTGGAGAGGCAGGGAGGGTGGGGAGCAGATGGATCCCGTGAAGAAGATTGATGGAAGGAAGTGGTGGGGGTCTTCGGGTCTTCTCAAGGGCAGGCTCTATGTCTGTTCATTCTGCAGTTCCCAAGGCTAATACAGTACCAGGGCTCTTGGGAGACGCTCCATGGGTGGTTATTAAGTGAGTGAATACACACTCCAGGAACACTTCCAGGGACCAGGAGAGGTTGCCTCTAAAGGATACTGTCAGCTACCTCTTGTACCTTTCATAGGAGTTATCAATCTATCCAATAGGATCTGGGGGTAGAAACAAATAGCTACATAACCCCTGCTAGGTACAGATGCTGCCATGAGCCCTCTCATGTGTGATCTCACTGAGTCTTCACCACCCTAAGGGGTGGGTACTTTTATTTCCACTTTACAGATCAGAAGACTAGAGTCTAGGGTGGAAGGTGAAGCATCCAGTCCAAGACTCCGTAGCCAGGAAGTGGACAAGTGCTCTTTCCACCACTGTTTCAGGAATTCTCACAGTAAAGTGGAGGCTAAGGCATGAGAAAGCATCAATGACTGGTCCTCTAGAGGAAGAGTCATGACTGGGGCCTGCTCTGAGCTCTGGAAGGAAGGCTGGCAAGAAGTCTTGACTGTCTTCCTCCTAGCCAAGGTGTTGGCCACCGTGAGAAGCTGCAGGGACCAACTGGCTCACTACTTCTTCCCAGTGGTGACCAGTCCTCCCACTGCTCATGGGGACATGCGGGCTGGATGGAATGTGCTGCTCCCTCTGGTCAGGCTGGGGTTTGGAATTAAACCAGCTCTCCCAGAAGGGCTTCTACCCAGCCTACTCTTGTAGTGAGAAAGGAAGGGGAAGCAGCTGTAACAGATTCCTGTCTCAGAGACAGGCAAGTGCAGGGAGGCCTGTCAGTCTGCACTTAGAATAATGGCATCTAAAAATAACACTGCTTAGCAGAGAAAGGACACATTTTTAGGGAAAGCCCTCAGAGCCTTAGAAACCCCTACACCCATCACACCAAATGTCCCTGGAGAAGAGGCACCTTTTATAACCAGACATGGAAAAGGAATGGAACATGCTTAATGTCTCCAAAGTATCCCCAGGGTAACATGATCCGTAGCATTTGCAAATGGAAGTGACATATGAGGCTGGGCTTGGTGGCTCAGCCTGCAATCCCAGCACTTTGGGAGCCCGCGGGTTCGAGATCAGCCCGGGCAACTTGGTGAGACCTCCTCTCTACAATAAGGAAATTAGTCAGGCGTGGTAGCATGCACCTGTAGTTCCAGTTACTTGGAAGGCTGAGGCGGAAGGAACACCAGAGCCCAGCAGGCCGACATTGGCGTGGCCGTGAGTGTGCCACTGTACTCCAGTCTGGGAGATGAAGTGAGACTCCAACTCAAAAAAAGAGAAAAGAAAGTGACATATGAAAAACCGGAGGAGAGAATGGGGGATGTGAGGGGGTGCCTAAATCTGCCTTGCTCTCTTCTGTATTACCCCTTTTGCAAAAAGAATAGTTTGGGGGGCAAAATCTGTGCCTCTTTGTTTATTTATTTTAGAGACAGTCTCATTCTGTCTTTTGCCCAGGCTAGAGTATAGTGGTATGATGAGTGCAGTAGCTCACTGCAGCCTCAAACTCCTGGACTCAAGCCTATCCTCCCATCTCAGGTTCCTAAGTAGCTCAGACTACAAGCATGTGCCATCATGCTTGGCTAACTTTTCTGGTTTTATTTGGAGATATGGGGTTTTGCTGTGTGGCCAGGCTGGTCTTAACTCCTGACCTCAAGCAATCCACCTTGGACTCCCAAAGTGCTGGGATTTGCCTGTCTTTTTTTGTTTTTTGGAAAGTAGTATTTATTGAGAAGATAGAAAAGCTCGCAGAGCGGGAGGGAGCCTGCCTCCGTCTTTAAAAGCCGGTATTCTTTCACAAGAGAAACGATGGAGTGGTAGGTTGCCCACCAAAGTTCCCTTCTGAGGGGCTCGCATGTCAACCACATGACGGGGCTCAAGGAGGTGACTTAATCATGAACTGGCCTCCTCCCTCTCCCCAAGTTCTAGCTGGCCCAAGTTCTACCTATAGACCCAATGTTGCTTCCAGAATAGCCAACAGCTTTTAGAGTTCGGAAGGAGTCAACTTGGGGAGCTCCTCCCTTTCTGCCTTCCGTGGCCAGTTGTGGCAGCGATGGATACCCACATATGCATGAGTGTAAAGCTTGCTGCTTTTGACTGTGGGAGGACAAAGCCCTCCCTTTGGAGAGGTGGTGCACTAACCCCCAAGATGGACCCCACTGTGTCTCTCTGCACCCTGGCCCACTCCCTTCCCACTGTTCTCCACCTTGTCCAATGGCATTACTGACCAGCAGGTGCAGAGCTTGGAATCAGCCTCCCACTGCCCCGCCTGCCCCAACGCCCTGGTTGGGTCCCTCAGTTCCAGTGCCTCTACGTCTGTCTCTCTCAAGCTCTGAGCCACCACATTCCCTCCAGGTCTATTGCTCTGGCCAGTTATCTGGTCTCCCTTCCTTTGGTTTTCCTTCAGTCTGCCCCAACTGCCTGGTCCCTCAGGCTGGGCTTCTGATGCATAGCCCTGACTGTAGGCCCTCACTCCCCACTGACAAATCTCAACTCCTCAGCTTGGCAGCTGCAGCCCTCCCAGTATGGCCAGTCTAGTTCCCCTGCCACAGCCAGCCATCCTTCACCTCATTCTCACATGCTTTTTATTTCCACCTGAGCTGACTCATTCTGTTTGTGCTGTTCTTCCTGCCTTCATGTCCTTCCCCTTCCTATCAGCTCTACTTCTTGCAGTTTGTCAAGGCCCTGTCATGTAAAGACTAACTCCTAAGAGAAGATACGCATGGTTCCTCCAAGAATCCTCCTTCCCTGATGTAAAGTACTTTTCTTTCTTTCTTTCTTTTGTTGCTATTCTTATTGTTCCTACCATTACATATGTTAAGGGCACTGAAACTACCCAGATCAGTCTGGAGCTCAGCTCTACGACTTCTCAGCTATCTGGACTTTTGGGATCACCTGTCCCTTAAAGCCTCAGTTTACTTATTTGCAAGATAAGAGTGGAAACACCAACCCTAAGAGTGTAACTGGAGAACCAAACACCTTCAAGGATACTGCAGCATCTGGGTTGTAGTGAGCACTCAGGGAATGGCAGCTCTGATGCCCGGGTGTCTCCCTATCCTCAGTCCCCATCACCCTTTCCCCCAGGGATGCAACAAGCTCCTCAAAGGCAGAGACTGCCTTGTTCAATATCTGTGTCTCCCAAAGAACCTAGTTTCTATTTCTGTCACATTTGGTTTACATAGAGAAATATTATTTTTTTCCCTTGTCAGTCAAAACTAAGAGTTGACATGTCATGACATGCCACCAAATGCTTCTTGGGGCAGGGACGGAAACCTACATGTCTACCCAACCATGGTTGCCGCTGATCTCAATGGCCTTGATATGCTCTCCTGCTGAGATGTACATCTCCACGGCGGCTTTGGGCTCCTTGATATTTCTGGCCCAGTCAGCCTGTTTGGTGATTAGCATCTTTGTTTCTTTGGGGTCTCCAGATCCAAGGAAATCCTGAGGAAGCACAACAAACAAAAACACTCCAGATTAGAACTTCCTGTGCCAGCATTACGTCAGACTGCTGAAAGCTGGAGCAAGGAAGGGCTCCATTTGGCTGAAGCAGGCAATCAGGATGCAGAAAGCAGCCCATCCCTTGTGGCTGAGTGGGGGGCAATCCCAGGCATCCGGGAGGAGTGACCACCGGCTGCTCAACAGGTGTTCCTGGGGGATACTGGGCAACATCAAGGACCTCAACGTTTCCTTCCTTTCTCACTAACGGACATCTGTTCTTCAGCTAAACATCACTTTCTGGACTGTTTGGGGCACTGCACACAAACTCCAGTGTGGTGAGCTTGTGACCAGGTTACTTTGTCTCTCTCCCTCTCTCTCTCTCATATAGTTTGATATATGTGACTAGACAACCTGGTCGCACAATTTCAAATATTCAGACTGTAATCTTTATTCAGATAATATGTATGATGCCACATGCCTCAGAGTGTGGCTGAGTACATGGTCCCCTGAACTTACACAAACAAAATGATTTAAAGAGTTCTCAGGTCCTCTGTGCCCTCCCCTCAACCACCACCACACTAGAAGTGCTATCTGCACCTGTTTTCTGAAATGTTCTGTTGTCTGACAAGCAAAACTCTCTTTGGTTAATTACTTCTCGACTGAATGGTAAGGGATCCTGTCCTGAGGTCAGGTCTGCAGGGGCAGGGACCTGATCCAACAGTGGAACAGCAGGAAGCCATGGGTGGAAGTGAGGTGGGGCAAGGGCTCAGGAAAGAGCCTGAGGGAAGACAGGCCTGTGGCCCATGAGGCTCGGGGGTTAGGCTGCAAAGTCTGTGTCCCTTCTACCACAACGGGGGGGCCTCTGAAGAACTGTGCCCAGTTTCCCTGGGTTGGCTCTAGAATGCGTAAGAAACAGCCTCAGAACGCCATCTCTTTTTAGGATAAAGTTACCCAAAATATATATGTGGGAGTCTGCCACAGTTGAGGCAGCATTGGTGCTGACATTTTTAAAGGTGGGGCTTTTCAAAAAGGGAAATTGAGAGCGCTTACAGCCTAGATCTATATTACGAGTAAGAAGTGGTTTGTCTTAAAATAATGTACCCTGCAGAGAGTGCTCTGTGTCAACCTCACATAGTTATTTAAAAAAGCACTTCTCTCTCCATGATTAACACTCATTTGTCAGGAAAATATAGTCAATGTATGCTAAAAATCCCACTTGAACAATTAGCTCACTTTTTTCTCCCATTTGCTTTCAGGGTAATTATGGAGCTCCTAAAATCACATATTAGGTCAACTTAAGACAACTAAATGTTTTAAGAAGAGGAGGAAGGGGCATCGTTTATCCAGATGCTAGGGACCCAATAAAAGGCAAGTGCACCTCGGCTGGCCTTTGTTCCCTCTGGAACTGACGAAGGGGAAGGGGTCTGGAAAGCAACCCCTGACTATGCCTAGTTTGGGCCATTACAGACACATCCTCTACTCTTGGCAGCGATTACAACATGTATTCTTTATGCTAGTGTAGCTGGAATCTCTCCCTACCTGGTTGGCTAAATGAAACTAGCAGCTGGGGAAAACAGGCATCATATGAAAAGGGAAATGTCCTTTAGCAGTGGTCCCCAATCTTTTTTGGCATCAGCAACCGGTTTCGTAGAAGACAATTTTTCCATGGACTGGGACTGGGGGAATCATCGGGCATTAGATTCTCATAAGAAGTGTGCAACCTAGATCCCTCCTACGCATAGTTCACAATACGGTTCATGCTCCTATGAGAACCTAATGCCACTGCTGATCTGACAGAGGCAGAGGTCCGCTCACCTCTTGCTGTGCATCCTGGTTCCTGATTGGCCACAGACCTGTACCAGTCCATGGCCTGGAGGTTGGGGACCCCTGCTTTAAAGGAACTCCAGTGAGTGCGCAGTGGGACTAGGGGTTGACCATAGTAAAAAGGATCAGAGGCTAAGAGGGAACCATAAGAACCTTAACTTTGGGTGGTTGCCCCAAGACCATCCCCACACACAACTCAGAGTCTTGAAGGAGCCTCTTCCTCTAGTCCAGCTCAGGGAGCTGAGATTTAATTAAAGCTGAGTCTAAAGGGTTCCTTCAGGGTTCAACACACCAGGCTTTCAAAGGTTTTTTGGTCCATGAAGTTAATTTACACGTTATCTGGGGGCCATGGCAAAGACTTTGTCCTGAAGTGGACAGAAAGAGGCTGTGCTGAGTGATGAATGAGACTAAACAGTGTTCTTGTGCTTGGTGATTTTGATAAGGACATACTACATAAGAGTTAAGAGCATTATAATTCCCTTTATCACCACATAAACATGTCACTTATCCGGAAAGCATACAATTTATTTGTACGTGGGAATGTAATTTTCAAATTTTCTGAAAACCAGATTGAATCTTGGGAAGCAATTTTCAAGTAAACAAAAACATGCCATGTTAATAGGCACTGGATCTCCCCTATCCTAGACATAATGTGTATGTATACATTTTCTCAAATTCAGACTACTGGGCGGGGGGCAGGGGAGATTGAAACGAAACCAGACTACTTGGAATTGTGACCAAAAACTAAAACCAAAAACAAGTCCCAGAGTATTTACCTTCATAGAGGGAGAGACCAGATGGAATGTATAAATGGGCTGCATTTCTTGGTGGAAGACTGGGCCCACGAAACCCACCATGCACGAAGTGTGAGGAGGGGCCTCAGAGAAGTGGCAGAAGTGGGGCCAGCCAGAGAGAGCTGAAGGACACTCACTCTGTGGTCACGCCCGGCCCCTCTTATTTGCTTCACCTTTCTACAGCTTGGCATTTGTAATGGGCTTTCCCATATGTTATTCTGTGTAATTCTCAGAACTAAACTGAGCTGCAGCTTTGTTGCCCTTTGAGGAGGAAACAGAGGCTCAGCAAAGTGAAGAGCCTTTCTCCAGGTCACCCCATAGGAGGGACCCAAACTCATATCAGCTCTCTGGATGCCAAGGCAAGGCATTTTCTACTGCACCATAGCTGCCTGCTTGGGGAGGCTTCAGGGGTTCCAAGAAGGGCCATAGGTCCCACAGAACTGAGCTAGTCCTGATTCCTAAATTCTACCTCTAGGGATTTAATCCTTTACTTTAAGGTTTTGTTCCAGTTAAAATGTTGTTCTCCACACAGAAAGATACACTGTTTAAGGTGTTCTCAGTATGACTATGTTATGAAATATTGCAGATGTCTGTGGTGGGAATATGGGACAGGGCAAGAAAGATGAAGAGGAAAATGTAGAACCTGGAACACCTTTGACCTGAGGTATGGAGTGAAAGAATTGCTAAGGTAAAAAGACAGATTGGAGCCGGGCTCGGTGGCTCAGCCTGTAATCCCAGCGCTTTGGGAGGCCGAGGTGAGTGAAATGCCTGAGCCCGCGGGTTTGAGACCCGCCCAGGTAACTTGGCGAGACCTCATCTCTACAATAAATCAAAAAATCAGCCGGGTGTGGCAGCGCATACCTGTAGTTCCGGCTACTCAGAAGGCTGAGGTGGAAAAATCACTGGAGCCCAGCAGGTCGAGGCTGCGGTGGCCAGGAGTGGCCACTGCACTCCAGCCTGGGCGACAGAGTGAGACTCCGACTCAAAAAAAAAAAAAAAAAAAAAAAAGACAGATTGGGGCTCAGGTGTTCATACCGGTACTGATAAACAGAACAGTAACTGATGGGCTCAATCACAACCTTCAGACCCAGGATCTAACAGATAGTAGATCATAGCTATCTTCAGGAACAGAAAAGACAAAAATGGGGAAGATTTTCCATCTTGAACTTGTGAGCTAGATAATTACCATTAATAGCCACTAACTGGTTGTGGCTTATGACTCAATACCATTCTGAGAACCTCTTTTGACCCTACTGGGAAAAGCAGGTCAACAAAGGCACCTCTGTGGGAGGAAGAACCTTGTTGCTCGATGCACCTAAGGCTCTTTTAACCTTACATGAGGATGAGTTGCAAATATCTTGACTGGTCTGGGCTCCTTAGTGCAACGCATTCCCACACAAGTCATCAGGAGCAGGGTCCAGGAAGCTCTTCTCCCACATGTATCTACAAAGGCACAGACCTAGGCCAAGTGCAGTGGCTCACACTTGTAATCCCAGAATTTTGGGAGGCAAAGGCAGGATTGCTTGAGCCCAGAAGTTCAAGTCCAAACTGGGCAACAGAGTGAGATCCTGTTTTTACAAAACATTAGCTGGTGTGGTGGTATGTGCCTGTAGTCCCAGTTACTTGGGAGGTGAGGTGGGAGGGGGGAGGATTGCCTGAGCCATGATGGTGCCACTGCATTTTAGTGTGGGTGACAGAGTAAGAACCCCAACTCAAAAAAAAAAAAAAAAGAAAAGAAAAGTCCAGGCCTGTTCTTGAATAACCTTAAAGGAGGCCTTCCAAATGCAAAAGAGAATCTCCATCATCACCCACCAAGACCATATGGGAGCCACTCTGCACCTGCCAGTGTGCTTTGAGGTATGCTGTAAAGTCCAGGACAATCAGAAAGCAGGTGCTTAGGGAACCTTGGTTGGAGTGAACCACATCATCCTGTGTGGTTGGCAGGACCAGCTTGTGCCTGAGGACACTGATTCTTGGTGGCTCCTGACAGGGGTTTGAAAAAATCTGTGGGAGACATCCCTGAAGCTCTGAGCCCTCAACCTAATGAAGGGATCACACCGGTGTAGACTCCTAGCCCATCCAGCTCAGTTACTGACAAAGGTCTAAACTGCCATACGCTGTGCCTTTGGTGTCAACCTTAAAGGTCAGTTTTAGTTTCAACCAGTGGCTATAGATGGTTCCTTTGTTTATCAATTTGCCCACACCCTTTCTGAGGCCATTGCTATTTTTCTTCTACTACCTCTTGGGGCAAACAATTTGGTCATCACAGGTCAGAATGCCAGTAGGCTCCAAGAGGCAGCCTGGGCCCAAGATGTGGGTAGATTACCTTGGCATACTCAAACATGCGGAGGTCAGTGTACATCTCAAGCGCAAGGTTCTCATGTCCACTCCTCTTGTACAGTTTGGCGGCCTCATGCAACTTCCCCTGGTAGGAAAACACATCTGCCAGAAACAGGTCATTGTTGGTCTCTCCCCGCTTCTTCCTCTCCTGGAAAAGTCAGAAGCACAGGAAATGGCCTCTGCAGCCATAGGCAGGAAGCAGCCTTTACAAAGGTTAGATGTTGCTATTTCAAGTTAAGCCCCTGGGCCTTCCTACTGGAACCTACGCTTAGCTCCTAGGCTGCTGTGTCTCTCACCCTGGTTTTTGGTGGGAATGCTTAATAACAAAAGCAGATTTTTTTCCAGACAAGATTAAAAAAAAAAGATGCAAGCCTTTGTTTGTTTAATGGAAATTCCTCAGGGTTGCTTTCCTGTATATTCTTCCAAGGCCATAAGTGAATAATTTGGATAGTGTGTGCTGCTGACTTAATGATGACCCCTGAACTCCCAAGATCTCTCAAATCTGCAGGCCTGATTTGGCAATTGTGACCTATGACAGACCAGGAGAAAGTTTAGGGTTTCTGTCCAAGATGGAGATCAATAAAATAGGATAGCAAGTCGTATTATATTCCTATTTCTTTTTTTTTTGAGTTGGAGTCTCACTCTGTCACCC